AAAGATAAGTTAAATCATTTACTTTTTTACTAAAAAAAAGTAGAGGCCAACAAAAATATGTGAGGCTGAGTAGCAATTACAGAGTACAAAAAAAAATGAAGAAAAGATAGCAAGGTTCAATTGTATACTTAAAAAATAACCATCCTCAACAAGAGCAAAATTAGAAACTATTTAGACAACATCACTAGTAGTATCAGAAAACACAGAAATAACAATACATACAGACAGTCTTGCTTCTATACAAGTGCTTAAGTACAAAGATAGTTTAAAAAAAAAAAGAAAAATATTTAAGATCAAGAATACAAGTCTTATATAGCAAACTTAAAGAATATGAAAGATAAAAACTTAAAGAATATAAAAGATGAAAATCTTAGTATACAACTAAAAAAAGTTAGAGGTCATAGCAGAAATATATATAATAAAATAGCAAATAAACTAATAAAAAAAGAAGCAAAAAAACAAAAAACAGTAATAACAAAGTGGTTATAGACAAAAAGGTCATGCATAATAGCAAGGTAAAGAAATATTATAATAGATAGTTTAATAAGAAAAGTTGTAAACAAACTAGCTTTAGCTATTTTAGATTAAGCAAATTTAGATAGAAACAACAGAAGTAAAAAGAAGAAATTAAATTAAGGGAAAATATGAAGATAGATCAATAAAAATAAGAGAGAAACTATACAAGCAGAAAACAAAACAAAAGATAGACTTTTCAAGTTAAATGTCTAGACAAGCTACTGCCAACCTTGACAGAAAAATACAAGGAAACCTAAGATATACGAAATGAATATTTGTATAGTTTGCAAAGAGAAGGCAGAAGATATAGATCATCTTATTACATGTAAAGCATACCAAAGAATATAAAATAAAATTAAAGATGAAGCTAGCAATGAAGGCCTTAAAATATCCTAAAAAGAAGACATAATAGGAGAGCTCAATAACAAAGAAGTAGTTAAAAAACTATTCTTTAGAAAAATACAAGAAGAAAGAGTAGAAACAAAAAGACACCTAATAAGAAGCCTTATAATTAAAAAAAAAAATACAAAATTAAGGAGAAAATAGAGAATAGAAATATAAAATACAAGATGCTAGACACAATTAAAAGAAGTTTGATGAAAAATTCTGGACCTGCATATAGAACTTTAGATGCAAGCTAATAAACGATTGGGAGAAAAAAATTGGAATCACTGCTAAAATCAAAAAAAAAAAGACAATACAAAAAAAGAGATTAACTCAAGAATCAGATAATAAAGAAAACAGGACCACAGAGAAAGAAGAATAAAAAAAGACCTCTGAAGAAAAAGAAAAGTGAGTCCTAGAGGTAGTAAAAGAAAACAATCAAAATCTAATTAATTATTATATTAAACCAAACTGGTTCTCCTGAACCAATATTATAAAAAAAATAATGATGTCTGACAAGAACAGTAGCTCCTAGTTAAGGATTAAAAGAACCAAATCCTCAACAAGTTGAAGATCTAATATAAAGCAAATTGGCTATTTAGACAAATTACATCTGGGCTTTAATGCTAAGTAAATTTTTATTAGTACAAGAATATAGTATAGAAAATTTATATTTAATTCAAGTATAAAGTTCTGGTACTTCTAATTTAAATAATAAAGACAGGATTGCCAAAAAAAAAATAATAACAAAAGTTATAATAATATAAAACAACCAAAAATAAAAAATTTAAACAATATAAAAAATTTAGTAATAGAAATTATTAAAAAGTATAACAATAAAAGTTAACAAAGTTTATTTAAAAACAAATATTTATAAAAATTTATTAAAAATTTATTAATAAAATTTAACAACATAATTTCTAATAACAAAAATTTTAAAAATACTAAAATTGAATAACAGCTTCAAAATAATAACTTTAACAATAATTTTAAGAATAATAATTTTAAAAACAATAATTTTAAAAAGTCTTAATTAAGTATTATATTTTTGTAAAATACTTATACTGTATATCATATTTTAATAACTAGCCAATTAAATATTAAGATCACATATAATATAACATAATTAGAAAATTTTAAAACAAATGTTTGTTTTGTAAAAAGTTGTATATAATTCAAATTTTACATATAAAATTATTTTTTATACTCTTAACAAAAAAAATTTTTTGCAAAATTTTACTATAAAATCTTTATTTTAACTTTAATTTTAAATAAACATTCAATTTTATTTTTTTATTTTTATTTGATTTTATATTGACATTATAATAATTATATTATAATTGTATATATATACAATATATAAGCATATTACAAAGTACAACTTATATATTTATAACAATTTTAAAAACAATAAACCCAAATTTAAAAAATTGAATTATTAATCAAACTTTAAAAAAATAAAAGAATAAATAATAAAAACAATAAGTAAAAAAAGCAAAAAGAAGTAAAGCAAAAAAATAAAAAAATAAAAAAAAAGCAAAAAATAATAAAATAAAAAAAATAAAACAAAAAATAATAAAATAAAAAAAAGTAAATCAAAAAAATAAAAAATAAATAATAGCAAAAAAGAAAAAACAAATATAAAAAAAAACAAAATAAATAAAATAAAACAGAAATAAAAAAAAAACAAAAAAAGAAGCAAAAAAAATAAAAAATAGTAAAAAAAATATAAAAAAATAAAAAAAAAAAATTAAAAAACAAATAAATAACAAAAATAAAACAAAAAAACAACAAAACAAAAAAACAGCAAAAAGCAAAAAAAAATAAAAAAAAGAAAAAATAAAAAAAAATAAAAAAAATAACAACAAAAAAACCACGAAACAAAAAAAAACGAAATCAAAAATAATTATTGTTAATATATGATCGCTGATCTTAAATGTGATTGGCTGATCATATAGGGTCGCTATTTATAATTTTCTTTTAAATAAATATAAATTATTAATAAAAATTTTATTTATATAAAAACAAAATTTGATCTATTATTCTATTGTTAGACTGATATCTAATTATATATACAAATATATATCTAAATAAATTTTACAAAATATAAAATGCTTGAATACTCTTGAACTTGGATGCTAAACATATTAAAAAAGGTTTTGGGTATTAAAATGTACTATTCTGCATACACCTAATGTGCAAATAGAAATTGCTTAAAATATGTATAATTATAAAGTTTAAAAAGACATAAAAAGGGTTTTCTTATTTTAATTGCAGTCTTTTAAAGAAAGCTGATACGATTCTATTATACGTATGATTTCACATGCATGTTCTTCTTTTTAGCAAATACTCTTTGTTGCGCCAATACTACTCCATTTTCCTGTTTCATTTCATTTTCAATATCTTTTATCAAGATATCAAATTCTTCAAATGACATTTTCATAAAAGGTGCCATCACATCTTTAATAAGATTGAAATAACTTAAAGCATTTTCGCGAGCAAATTCATCAAAATAATAGTCAGATCGGGACGTAATGTTTGTTAATTGTTGAGATACAGTTTCGACTTTTCCGGTCTCTTTAAGAAGACTTTCAAAGCTCTTCATAAGATTAAAATCAATGTTAAATAACTTGGCCCACGAATAAACTAAATAATTACAAATGAATTGAGAAAATATTTCAAAATGCATATATTTTTAGAATAAATATGCAATAAACATACGCCCGAAAAACAATCGTCTAAGCGTTTTCGTAACATAAAGGCCGTCAGCACACGAATACCCAATCTAACATAAATAAATTTCGAACCTATGAATACATTTATATAGGGTAAAATTAAAATGAACACTTTTCTTACCTCTAACCAACCACCCGGCTTCAATACTCTAAGAAGCTCTGATAAAACATAATGAAAATGATCTTTTACAAAGATAGTCGTTTTATCTCTAGAAAAAATATAATCAAATTCATTATCGGGGAATGGCAACTTTTTAAAAATATTACATTCAATAAATGTAACATTATGATTGTTAGCACTATAATCTGAAAATATGGAAAAATCAATTGCATAAAATTCCGAATTTGGATATTCGGCAGCGACCTAACGTAAATATAAAAGTTAGTCACCGAAAAACAAAAGTTACCAACGTTCACAAAATGATAATATAAATACTTCGGTAGTCCAAATGGCAGTCTCACAACTTTTTGTTTTTTTTTTTTTTGCGAAAATTTAAATGAGTAAATTTTTCTTTGTAAAAGTATTATTAAATAAGAATATAGCTTACCCAAATTCCAATACTTTAGCCCCGCTCAGTAACGTTTTATGAACCGGAGCGCCTATATTGCCATTGAATACATGCTTGCAGATATTATGCTTGTAAAATAAATAATTGTTTAATTTTTCTCGATCTTTGACAGGATGGATGTTTCCTTTAAATGTTTTCTTATATTCTTCGATTTGTGCATTATATTTTTGGATTTGTGAACGATGACCCATTGTGAAAAGTTTATAGACAAATCTTTTATTATTTAACAAACCTGAAAAACGTGGCATTTTATTTATTTTTAAAATTCTATGCGGTCATAGCTTTAAACAGAACTAGTCATGTGTGATCGAAAGTATCGAACTAAATAAAATAAATATATTACATCATGAATGATTACTTATCAGAACGTTATTCTAAAGAATGCGATAGCTAGAATTGTTAATCACAGGTAGAATCCAAAGTATTCTTCTTATTTTTAAGTGTTCTATCTTCATTAGAACTTGAATTCGTTATCCGAATTTAATAGTTAAATATCGATATGCTGACATTTAGTTACGTCATTTTGCCGATCACCACGCATGCACATGATTAATTCATGATGATCGGCAAAATGGTTTACGTCCTATATAAAAAATGGTTATTCCCCGAAAGCCATTTACCCGACAGGACATTTACCCGACATCACACAGGTGACAAATTGCTAAAAATATATACCTACAGCTAATTAAATGCTAAACCTAACCTTTGTGATGTCGGGTAAATGTCCTGTCGGGTAAATGGCTTTCGGGAATTGAGCGACAACCTAAAAAATCAGGTTTATAAAATAGAGCCGTAACTAGCATTTATAATATGATCTAGATTGTCGAGATTGTCGTGATTGACTAAATAATAATAAATAGAAACAATATATAAACAATACTTTTTATATTGCTTATATTGTTTTTATTTTAGCTAAAGTAAGCTGTGGACACTTTTCTAAATAAACTACGCTATTAATGCTTTTTCAACAGTTAGTGGGAAATAGTACGAAACAATGAATTTGATCAGTTTTTGAACATGCAATGCATGGTCCAGTTATCTTTTTATGTTTGTGATGTATTTGAGAAAAGATATAAGAAAGAAAATATAAAATACGAAAAGTGGTTGATTAATAATGTGTCTCAATTTTAATATTAACGAAAATTTTATAATATACTCTAATATATTAAATTAGCCAATCAAATTTGTTTGAACTATCGCTATGTCTTCTATTTTAGTGCAGTAGTGTAATGTGAAAATTTTGTGCAACTCCTAGCAGTAACGTGATGTGGCGCATTGTGGCACATTCGGGTTAGGGTTCGTGGTTATGGGCCTTGAAAGATCATCCCAATATGTAAAATTACGCTTCCGACATTTTTGGTTAGTGTCTAAAGGCCGATTTAAACACTAGTTTTTGAGTATTTTCGCTTTTTTCTCTTTTTTTCTTGCGCGCGTTTTGTTTTGACGTCGGGCTGATCCCGATTTAGTAAAATTGCGTCATTTTCACTAGTGTTACAAATCGGCAAATTTTTTCAATCGATTAGTTGGTTGCAACTAATCGATTAACCGACGAGTTGCAACTAATTCAATTATTGCGGTTTGCAAAAATTATGTGAAATTTGAAGATCATTAAAAAAAAAGTAATCACTGATTTCCGATTTCTTCAACGTTTTTTTTTTGACCTTTAGACTTGACAAAAATTTGCGCATTTATTATTTGTAAAATTTGATTGAATATTTTAATTCGCAACTCCTATTTCTGCAAATATATTACAAAATGGTGAGTATGCAACTTTTATTTTCATAAAAATAATAAAATTTTTACAAAATAATAACTGCACAAATTTTGTCTAATCTAGAAGTCAAAGAAATCGGAAATCAGTAATCAGAAATCGTGATCTTCAAATTTCACAAACCGCAATAAATAGAACCGGCCGGTGTGAGGGGGAAAAATTCGCCAGGTCGATGTCGAAGCAGCTCGGGTCGATCTAACCCAAATTGGTCCAAATATGCCAAATCTTCCAAAAGGGCAGATATGTCAGATAGGACATATAGGTCAGATAGGTCATATAGGCCATATATGGTCGGTATGGCAGAAAAGTTCGTAGCTAATTAGTATTTCGTAAAAATGTATTTAAGCACAAGTATTTCGCTGTAAATAAAGGATAGCTCGCTTGAGTTCAAAGTGCCAAGTTAAAGAAATTAGAGTATTTAACTTATGATTCATTTTTATAATGTGAAGCTCTGCGAGTTCGAAACTTCAAAAGTTCTTTAGTAGAAGTGTTGGGTTCTACCAATCCCCCCCGATAAGTAAATTCTGTAATAACGATTGGAAATAGTGACCAAATCCCGTGATTCTGTATAAAGAAATTCGTGACGTAGTCTAGAGCTCAAATTGACCCTATTCTCGGACCAAATCAATCCACACCTCAATCGAAGCCTGCCAATTAGGGTGTAGTGGAAGAATTTTATTAGAATTCGTAGTCTTTGTGTTAATATTAGTGATATAGCGACCCCTATTAGGTCAATTTTTAGTAGTTATACCATTTTTCACCGTCACACCGGTCGGCTTTTTTTTTTTTTTTTTTAAATTTCATATAAAATTTTTTAAAAAAATTGTTACAAAATCCCACCCGGTTATTAAACATAAATTTTTTTTTAAAATTTGATCTGGCTGGGTTATGAAAACCAATTATTGCGGTTTGCAAAATTATATGAAATTTGAGGATCAATAAAAAAAAAGTAATCACTAATTTCCGATTACTGATTTCCGATTTCTTCAACATTTTTTTTGACTTTTAGACTAGACAAAATTTGCGCATTTATCATTTGTAAAAATTTGATTGGATATTTTAATGCGCAACACCTATTTTTGCCAATATATTGCGGTTTGCAAAATTATGTGAAATTTCAAGATCAATAAAAAAAAAAAGTAATCACTGATTTCCGATTATTGATTTCCGATTTTTTTTGACTTTTAGACTAGACAAAATTTGCGCATATATCATTTGTTAAAATTTGACTGGATATTTTAATGCGCAACACCTATTTTTGCAAATATAATGAATATGCAACTTTTATTTCTAGTAGCAATAAAAAAGATAAATAACTATATATCTTTCATCTCAAGTTTAACACGGTTTTTTGATTGAAAAATTAGCAATCTATTATTTCCGGCAACAAATAATTTACATTTAAAAAGGTAATAAATTTGCAGAGGGCATTTTAAAATTTTCTGACTGTGAAATCTTTACAGCATTAATTTAATAGCACGATAGATGGTGTTTCAAATAAAATTTAATTATTTTGTCCTTTATTTAAAAAAAAAACAAAAAAAAATAACAATAATATCATTCCTAACGCTAATGGATAATTATTTACAATATAATTTTATAATTTTCTGCATCCTAATGTATCACTTAGATATTACAATCTGAAACATGTATGCCCTGAAAATCCTTTATCAATGACCTTACGGCATCTATGGTTCCAACCACATATCCAACAAATCCAACAAATATCACGAACAAACCCAACATCAATTCTAGAAAGGATAATTTACTCCATCCAGATAATTTTATATAAAAAATCACGGGAAAAATAAACACGAGGCAATACATCCCTAACGCTCCAAATAAGGCCATAAAGTCGCCAAAAAGCGGCATAAAAATGGCAACAGTCACGCATCCAACGATAATACTTAAGCGAAATAAAACTCTTAATAAAAATTCCGAAATAACTGAATAACGCTCGTATGTAATATTTAAAAACTCTTCAGCATCCGACGCGAATGATGTTAAAAGAATTGGTGATGTAAGAAGCATGTCAATGGTAATAAATATGGTTGCTATTGTAACAATTGGTCCTAATCATATTATTATATATTAAAATTATAAAAGTAAGTTATTTTGCTAATGATATAGTATTATACAAGTATCATATCATTTTCCATGATTTTTACCTTCATGCTGATTTGCACGAACAATCTTGCAATCACCAAACACATAATATCCAGAAAATGCAACAATCAAATACATAAATGTACAAGTAAATAAAGCGGCAGTTACCACTTTATTCCAATCTTTAGGTTTCCGCATGTTCCCTTCAATGGATGGGAAAAGGCTATTTCCTCCATATGAGAGTGATATTGCCGCAAATGATACTGGAAATTTATATAAATTGTGCGAACAAGTATCATAATAAGCCATAACCTCAGTAAAGTCTTTACATGATAATGCGGCGACAGCGATTACAGAAAACAAAGTCGAAAGTGCGCCAAAAATACTATATAAAAGTTAAGGTATTATTTAGTTATTAATTCCTTTACATGATAATAAATTTATTACTAACCTTAAAAAAAATACATCTTTCAATGATTTCATTAATATAAATGGTATGGAAATTAATGCTGAAGCTATACATATCCATATTCGAGTTTCTATGTGTATTCCTAAATGCACTGTTACTAAATTGTCAAGATTCTTTCCTGCAATAAGTAAGAAAAATATCGGAATTCCTAGCAAAATCATGTTATTGAATCCAACCAAAATATATTTTCCAACATTTCCATACGCATGGTAACCGATATCTGCATAAGTACTTAACCGATTTTTGCTATTTTAGACGATAAGTATATATATTGTATTAATCACTAATGTTCAAATAATTTCTTAGTTCTTTAACTGGTAAACTTTTAGATAATTAATATTAAATATACCGATTATAATAAAGACATTTAATTAAAATTATACTTGTATATTGAGTCATTAGCATGAGCAATGCTACTAATGCAATTCCAATCCAACTTCCTTGTTTGACGGCATATGGCAACCCAAAAATTCCTGTTCCTGCAATCAAACAACTATGAGTTGAATTTTTTTTTTTTTAGTTTAAATGCTTAATAAGATAATTACATATCGGTATCATATCAAAAAAACTCACGTGACATTTATATACGCTGCCCAACTAGAACCCGAAATACCTTGTCTTCCAACATTATTTGAGTAATCAATTTGTCGTTCATCATCATAGATACGAGATGTATCTTCATCCTCCTGTAGTAAGGTATTATTAAAGTATTCATCATCTGTCAATAATGGTGCTTTCGAATCAATCGATAATATAGAACATTCATCATCTCTATCTATATGTTCTGTACTTAAATCCATTTATTCGTGGAGAACTAAATCGTAAAGTTCGTAAATGTGTGGATCTGGGTTGAAGGTAACGATCCGAATTAGGCTCTATATACAAAAGAGGCTGATCTATCACAAATGGAAACCTTATAAAAATTCTAGACTTCATTCGGTAATACGTACTCGATTTTCATATTACGATAAGGTGAAACCCGAGCCAAGGATGAATTGCTTTACGTATCATTATTGTTATCGATGCAAATCACTACCTAACATAGAGGTCTAAAGGTAGGGTTTATCTGGTTTAACAATAACGTACATACGTACCAACTCCAAGTTTGAATAATAGAAATATTAACAGTAACTATTGGCCATAATGACTTACGTATGCAATAAATAGCAATATCGTGTACAAATTGTAAAAGAATTAATATCGATATACTAACAGGCAGTGCTATCACTTGTACAACTTGACCAACATTTTAACATGCAGTACGTTTTTGTATGTCTGGTCATTTTTGGACTGTCAGCTTATAAATCTATCCAAAAAAGTTATACTGAATAATTTAAAATT